CTGTCCGCTCTAGGCCTCCGCGCCACGTAGCTGGATATCAGGAGCCCACGCGCGCTTTTTTTTGTTTTTTGGTACAGATGGCGTCTCACATTGTCTTCCAAACGTCGTCTTGAACCCCGGCCTCAAGCATCATCTATCTCTGGTCTCCAAATTGCTTGGGGAGTTAAGGCATAACACCAGCCGGCCAGTTTGTATTTGTGATTGTTTGAAACAAGAAATGATTTACTGAAATTGACTGAATAGCGCTTTTCAGTGAAAGGTAAACGATGTAAGGGGTATAAAGGTGTTCATACAGTTTACTTATGTACCTGTGGGATAATGGGCTTTGGATGGTGTCTTATGAGCTTCTGTGGACACCTCAGGGCAGATGTGGTTTTTGGATTTCAGAGGTTTTCAAATTTGAGATACAGAACCTAAGCGGGAAAGACTAATCTGTGCATGACAGAATATATCAAGCACATCTCCAAGAGGGATTGGGCAACATAAATACATAAACCATCAGTTAAAATTTTTTAATGGCAGGCGCCTAGTGGCTCCACGCCTGTATTCCCAGGCACGCCTTTGGTGTGGAGGCCCAAGGCCGGGTGGATAGCAAAGGTCAGGGTGGGCCATCTGGCCACATGCGTGAAGCCTCGTCTCTTACTTAAAGAATACAAAGAAATTAGCCTGGGGCGTGGTAGCTGCGTTGCGTGTAGTCTCAGTACTGGGATGGCTGGAGGCAGGAGATCGCGTTGGAACCAAGGACCGACGTGTTGCGAGTGAACAAGATTGCCCACTGGCAGCTTCCAGCGCTCGGGGCGAAATAGACACTCCAGCCTGGGCAATAGAGTGAGACTCTCTCAAAAAAAAAAAAAAAAAAAAAAAAAAAGATTTTTAGTTGATGTATAATGTCCATACAGAAAAACACATCAGTGGGTATAGCTCAATGAATTTTTATAAACTGAAGATATATGTTATTAATATTTCTGCCATAATTTTGAATATTTACATTTAGTGGAATAAATTGAGATTATAAATATGCTTATATCAGGTCAGGTGGTGCTGCCAAATGATTGATATTGGGTTTTGCTTTCAA